CAGATGGTCCAGACGTGCTCAGGGAGACAAGGGCTGACCACAGGCCAGTGCTCTCTAATTCCCAGCCCGGAACTCTTTCCTGGGGTCACATGGAAGCAGCAGGGAGGAAGGAGGTGGCAGGTGCTACATTTGGCGATACTGTTAGAAACACTGTTTAGTGCTGCGTCTGAGAAACAGTGTGAAACAACATGAGGTGGGTATGTCACACATGGAGCTGATGTTTCCAGTGATGGGCCTGGGAGCTGACCAGGCCTGAGGTCCACAGGGGCTGGACCAGCCGGCAGATGGCTGAGGGGAGGCCGTCGGACAATGTGGCCCTGAGACGGGCTGCGGGGCTATCATCTCTGGCTAAACCACCACCGCCCATGGGCTTCAAGGCAGGTATTTGGCCTGGGACAGCAGGCTCTATAGTGCACAAGCTCTGGACCCTGAGCCCTGGGATGCCCACCACCCAGGTCCTGCCCTGCAGGGCCCGCCCACCATATTGGCCTCAGTAACCAACCGGGCTGAGGGGCTACGGGAAAGCTGGGCAGTGGAAGGCCGGTCCTCGGGTGAGCACGAGTGCCAGTCTATTTTAAATCCCCACCTCAAAAGGATTCTGAAGCACTCAAATGCTTCAGATATTCTTAGCCTCGCTGCCAGAGAGCACCACGTAGTGCCAGCCTTTCGAAGCAAATTCTATGCTTTTATCGACACCAGGCTGTTCACGTCACTTTGACACACAAATCACACTACTGAAGTAGCAACAGACCCAGAAAGGCTTCATAAAACGCTGTAAACCTGAGGACGTCGACACTTTAAAAAAAAGTGCTACCGAAATACTCCAAAATGGTTGCAATTAAGCTACTGCAGACGCAAGCGGAGCAGTACACATATTAGGGAGACAGACGTGTGAATGCAATCTGCCAGGGAACATCCCCACTCCGAGAGCCTGAGGGAGGGGTGGGAGCAGGGCACACCCTCCTAGGGGGTTGCTAAGTGGCTCCCTGTGCCCTCAGCCCAGGGGCAAAAGGGCACCTCACCTGCCCGCCCAGGCTGGTGTCCATGTCAGCCCCATGACAGAGCACGACCAGGAGGACCAGCTCCCATAGAAACGGGACCTCCTCTGCACAACGGAAACCTCAGCGCACTGAGGCTCTGAGACGCTGAGGGGGCATTGTGGTCCCAGTACCCAGGTCTCCTGATCATCACCAAGCCCTTCTCTGTGTCAGGCCCTTGCTGGGAGCTGGACACAAAAGGGAGTCTGAGGGTCCTGCCCTTATGGGGCCCATGCTCTGGTGGGGAGACACTGCAACCAACACCCTGAATCCAACCCTGAGGAGAGAGCTGGAAGCATGCGCAGCACGACGACCAGGCTGAGCAGACCAGGCAGGATGCTGGGAGGAAGCCTGGCAGGGGAGGGAGGCAAGAGTCCTGCGGCTGGACCCCACACAGCCACATTTTGAGAAGCCCCTTTTCACTGGCCACACTCAGTTAGTATGAGAGACCCTCATGTGCAATCCCACTTCCTTTCAAGACCAGAAACCAGGCCAAGGTCAAGGTGCCTTCCAGAACATTCTTTCCCTCAGAGGACGTGCTGCTCTGTCCAGTGCTGGCCCTGCTGATGGCTTCTCCATTGCCCTCGGGAATCGGGTTGCAGGGAAGGGTGGAGGTAGGCTGGTGGCTGGACATAGGGGCCACCCCAAGCAAACCAGGGATGCAGCGTAGGACAGCAGGCGGCTGTCCTCAGGGGCCGCAGCCTGGAGAGCACTGAGTGCTGGCACGAGGAGGGGAGCACACAGAGCCAGCTGTCTTTCCTGCTGCGTCACCCAGGGAGGGGCCTGCTGTGCCCTCACATCCCCAGGGTCCCCTCCCATGGACAGCTCTTAGGGCCTTTCACTGTATTATCTCACACTTCACCACCCTCGAAGCCAGTGCCACCACCTTCCCACCACCCTCCCTCCCAGCCACTTTTCCGCGGCCCCCATCCTCTCCCGAGCAGCTGGCCTCCTTGCTGGGCTCCCTGACACCACTTGCTGCGCCAGTCTCCCTTTCCTGGCACCCTCACTGCCTGCCGCAGGGCCCCATGCCCCCAGAAGACACTTTGCCCACCCAGGGCCACATCTGACAGATTAACCTGCCCTTAGCCAGCATGTGCCAGGATTCAGCATTAACTCCCCCCCCACTTCCTCACTCATGCTCGCTCTCTCTCTCTCTCCCTCTCCCTCAGGAAAATGGGTTTTCTTTCCTTAAGGTCCCCCTGTCTGGCAGACTCCAACCAAAACCAGGCATCCTTGCAGGACTGAACACAGCAGAGGCAGTGTCCCCACTGCCCATCGACCTGCCCAGAAGAGTCCCTGCTCTCCTCCTACTGTGGCTCCCAAGGGGCCCTGGGATAATCACTGCCCAATGGGTTCTAAAAAGGTGGAGTCTAAAAAGGATGGAAGAACCTGGGAAATTTCCACAGCAGTGCAGGGAGCAAACGGTCTAGAAGGAAAGGCAGGGGCGCCATCTATGGGCCGTCAGGGGAACTGCATCCTGCCGAACTGGGACATGAGGCAGAGCACAGACCCTCAGGTACATGGCCAAGTCACTGGCCAACACCATGAGGTACCATCCAGGCCAGTGAGTGGGTCCAGCACACACATACTAACACACACACTCACACACATACATAGAAACACACACATAAACACACTAACACAGATATTCACATACACATGCATACATTCACACGCATAGAAGCACACACACACTCAAACAGACTCACACATACTCTCATACTCACACATGCACATGACCCAGCCTGTGGACTGCACGGGGAGGCAGAAGGATGCTCTGGGCACTCCGCCTGCGTGGCTCACAAAGAGTATGCTGACAGCTGGGAGGGGGCAGGCAGGGCCCCCCGGGGAGAGGCAGATCCACTCACCCCACAAGCTGCGCTCCCAGGTCCCGCCCTTCTGCCCACAGGTGCGCACTTGGGGCAGCGCGCGGCCCCCTCTCCACCCGGCCTGGGCTAGGGCCTCCACGGAGTCACAGCCTGGCCTCGCCATGAAGAGAGGAGGGGCGGGGTGGCTACCCTGGCACTGGGACCTCCTGGGCACTGGGACAGTGCCACTGACCAGGAAACACTTCTACCTGAGTGCTCAGAACCATGCTCATGGCCATGAGACTCAGGCCTTCATGCAAAAGCCAACTGGCTGATCTCTCTCCAAATTTATTCCCAAAAAGCAAACACCCACTGGCCAAGAGGTTTTGATGATCAAAGGCTAATGCAAAGCCACAGACTGCCACCAAAGGAGGGAAGTGGACTGAAAACAAGAAGCTTATGGAACTGTACCGGGATCCCCGAAAATGCTCAAAGTAGCACAGCTCAAAAGCCAGAGGGCCCAGATCTGGCAAGATAATGGCCCCACAGACATCCCCGTCCTAGTCCTGGGGCCTGTGGAAATGACACCTCACATAGCAAAAGAGACTTTTGCAGATAGATTAAGGACCCTAGAATGGGGGTGAAGCTGTGTTACTTAGGGTGGGGGTCCAGTGTCACTGCAAGGTCCTCATAAGAGGGAGACAGAAGGGTTAGAGTCGCAGGGATAGAAGAGGCTGCACTGCTGGCTGTGAGGGAGGAGGAAGGGGCCATGAGCCCGGGATGCGGTGCCTCTAGAAGCTGGAAAAACCTGGATTCTCCTGTGGAGCCTCCAGAAGAAACAGCCCTGCCCATACCCGTGCATTAGCCCTGTGACACTCCCAAACTCCAGGACATGAGAAAATAAATGTGCATTGTGTTAAGGCTTGTGGCCATTTTTTGCAGTAACTCTAGGACGGTCACACAAATGCCCCCGCCATGTCCATGTCCAATGCCTCCCTGTCCTGCCCCATCTGTCTGGGTGGGAACTGCTTTGTTCACACGAGAGCCGAGGAGAGCACGGTCACACAGCCAAGGGCAGAACAGGAAGGCCTGGCTTCCCACTTGAAATCTCCTGGCTGCTGGGCCCTCTGCTCGGAGCTCCTGCTCCTGCTCCACTCAGCAAAGGGCTCCAGGAGGTCCAGTAACATACAGGGGATGAAGTGTCCGTGGGTACCGGCTCCGCTAAGGTAAGGGGTGCCTTGGCCAGGGCATGCCTGCGACCCAGCTGTGTTGTGTCCCCGTGACCCCATCCCCAACTGCCCCGAACTCACTTGGTTGAGATCCTGAGTGCCATGATCTGTTCCCGGGCCTCCTGCTTCCCCTGCCACCCCCCGAGCATCAGAGATTATTGTGACAACAGAACCTTCTAAGACAGCAAGGGAGAGGCAAGGGGATGCAAAGCCCTAGTTCAGAAGCCCCTGCTAGAAACAACAGTGAACAAACAGAGGGCAGCTGCCACCTGGCCTGCCAGCAGAAGCTGAATGAGAGGTGAGTGTTCAGGGTTCAGCTCAGAGATTCTGGAACACAGAATGCACTGGACATCTGACCCAGCCTGCAGGATCCCCCTGTCTGGCACCTGCAAACCAGCGGGTACACCAAGGCAGCAGGCGCCTACTGCTAACCTGACCCCCAATCCGAAGGCCAAGAGAAAGGCCAGGGGAGACTCAGTACTTAAAGCCTCCCAGTGCTCAGGCCCGTGGCCCAGGAGAGCCCGCAACACAACAGCCACGCGCCTGACTCGGCCTGGGGAGGCGCTGAGGGAGGTGAGCACCAGCCGCTGCTCAGTGGGAGGCTCTCCAGCTGCAAACCCCAAGCTCCATGAATTGGGAAGCTCATTTCTGAGGGGCACATATCCCTCATCCCCAAACTGCTGGGTAAACCAAAGCTGCCCTAAAGCCAGAGGGGTCAGGGCCAGCAGATCTTGAGCTACCAGAGCTCCAACCCTGGCCCACCTTGCCTGAGAGCCCGGCCCCAGAGAGCCATCCAGAAGGCACCCCCATGCCTGCCTTACCCCAGAGGGGCCTGTGCCCTGCCCTCCCCATGCCCTTGGCCCTGCGGGCAGCAAGGACCCTCCTCCCTGAGGCGCAGGTCGAGCTGCTGGCTGGACGCTCACCATGACTTGGGCTCCCCAAAGTGCAGGTAGTTGATGCTGTACAGGTCCATGTCCTCCGTGTGCCAGGCAAAGGTGGTCTTCCACATGCCGAAGTACAGGTAGGGGGTGTTGACGCCCTCAATGATGGTGCCACACTCGCGTTCCACCATGTCCAGGATGGTCCGAAGGTTCCCGATGTTCCACTGTGCCACATCCTGTGGGGCAGCGAGCGCACAGTCAGTGTGGGGCCATCCCTGGGGCACCTGGGCCCCGCCCCGGTCCCCAGGCACTGGTGGGAGAAAGGGAAGTGTCGTTCCCTCTGAGCTTCCAGCTGCGGTATTGACTCCCATGAGAGCCCAGGAGCCAGCCAGCAGCGCCAAACCTGCCCACTCTAGAGCCTCACCCACCCCGGCATCCCAAACCCACCCTGGGCTGCTCACACCCCGCAGACGCCAACCAACTGCCCTGTGTCAGGCAGTCAGGCAGAGCTTTCTCTGGGTTCCATGCTGAGCTATGTGTTAATCTTGGCAGTAAAGACTGCAGTTTGGTCATGAGTAAGTAATGCGCCTCAAAGTCAATGATACAGAAGGAGGAAGACAATTGCCGGGCGGGGCCAGGCCGGCTAAGGTGCCTGAGAGCCCTTCTGACGCCTCCCTGCGCAACAGAGGGAGATGGTTCTCAGAACCAGGCAAATGAGGCTAGAATCTTCCCCTACCAGTCTCATCTATTCTTAATGCCACAAGCAAACAAACCGTGTCTTGTCGTAAGAGCTCATAAAATGCGCTTTAATCAACTTCCATTCCCTAGAGAATCCTCCAAGCCTGCTGAGTTGCTGAGTGAACACCAGCATTCTTCCCGGCCCAACCCACCCTGCGCCACCCGCTGCTGTCCGCATTACAGGCCCTTAATGTCCAGACCAGTGGCTGGTCTCTGCAAGGTGAGCCCTGGCAGAAGCCCAGGACCTGGGGCGGGGGCAGCGACCAGCCCTCTCAGGATAAGAAAGGAAAGCCCAAGGGTGCCTTGAATAGAAGCTGCCCAAGGTCAGGGCACATCAAAAACAGGTTGCCTCCCTAAAGTCCTGTCCGACTGACTCACTCACTGTCCAGCCCACATGTGCACAACGCAGCCACAGGCAGGGGACCTGGAGGCAGTAATTCATCATGTGACCAGGGCAAGTCATTTCTCTGCTCTGAGCCTAAGCTTCCCCATCTGTAAAAGGAGACTGTTGCACTAGGTCGGGCATGGGACACACAGGGCCCCAAATGCCTTTAGGAGCCAGAGGGTGCAGGTGTTGCCCGTGATCTCAGCACAGTCCTTCACGGGGCCATCGCTGTGCCTGGCTGCAGGTGGCGCACGAGCGCACACCTAGGGATTCTCACTGGATGAGGATCTAATTTTTGAATTTTTATTTGAAAACAGCACCACAGGGTCTTCAAGAGAATTAGAAGACAAGCCATAGACTAAGGGAAAATACTTACAAAAAGTATTTTCTGATAAAGGGCGGTTATCCAAAATATATAAAGAACTCTTAAAACTCAGTAAGAAATACACAACCCATTTAAAAATGAGTCAAAAACCTGAACCTCACCAAGGAAGATGCACTAATGACAAATAAACACATCAACAGATGCTATACCTCGTATGTCATCAGGCAAATGCAAATTAAAACCACAGTGAGCTACCACTACACGCCTATCAGAATGGCCAAAATCCAGAGCACTGACCACACCAAATGCCGGTGAGGACGTGGGGCAACAGGAACTCTCACTCACTGTTGGTGGAGGGGAGCCCGATGCAGCCCCTCTGGGTAAAATAAAATGCCAGCCAGTGACACATGTGGGGACCCACGTGGTAGGCCCATTTTTTCCAATATCTTTTGGGAGTCACAAGCCCCGCCTGTTCTAACAGGCTCCTCTCTGGGCATCCAGGAGGATCCCCACCCTTCCCAGGAGGGGGTGCTATTCCCACCCAAGAACAGGACTCAGGTGGCGCCCACCAGCTGCCCTCATGGTGAGTATGGGCTGAGTGGATGAAAGAGTGTCCTGGTAAGAGACGACGTTCAGAGTGACAACCTAAAGTGAGGGCTACAGATGGGGACAAAGAGGGCCATCCCAGAATGTAGAAAAGGCCAGTTTTTAGCCCAGGGTGCCCCATGCAGAACACCCCCAGGAAAGAGCAAGGCTCAGTGACTGGAATTAACCCCAGGACATCCATCCCAGGGTTACCTGAGGTCCCATAAATATAAATAACTGTTTCCTAAAACAATACAGCTCCCCACTCAAACCTCTGTCTGCCTAACCCAGCACCTCTCTGGGCCTCTGCATCACGCCACCAGAATCCGGCCTATGTCCTTGGACAGGCCCCCTCTGTTGTCTGGGTGTCCCCAGAGCCCCCTGAGAACTTGGGGCTCCTAGAATTCTAAGGGTGGCAGATCAGGGCAGACACGGCTCAACAACATGGTAGGAAAGATTTTGCAAGTCAGAAAAACCACAGGATCCCTTCTTCATTCATTCTAAGACTAGGCACATAGCTGTAACTGATGCCCAAACAAAAAGCCCAGCTAGGCTTCTGCGTCATTTTAACTTTCGTTTTCAATTCCACTTCCATTCACACCTCCACCTCCACCATGGAAACCGAGTTCCTCATTCTCCCCAGAACCTCCTGGACTTGGGAACTTACGTCATCGTACAAGGAGCCGCTGATGTCAGCTCCGTAGATGGGAGAGACGAAGGTGAGGTTCTTCCAGTACTTGCGTTCCAGGTCATCGAAGTCCTGGTGCCGGGGAGTGCAGTATCTGTGAGCAAACAGCACACCAAAAATGGGGGGCTCTGGTCATGTGCCTGATGCTCACAGCCGAGCTAGGCCCAGGGCATCTGCTGGATACACCGAGGGACAGGGTCTGCCCAGACCACCCATTGTCACCACCGAAGGGCACAGCCCCAGAGAACACAAATGGGGTTCCATAGCTGCTGGGACAGCATTTATTCCAGAGGGCGTGTACAGGATGGGCAGGCGGCCCTGCCTGGAATGATGCCCACTCATCCCATCTCACGAGCTAGCCAGGTCTGTGGCATCCAAGTCACAATGCGCACCAGGGGCAGCCGGAGCAGGTGGACGGGCACAGGCTCTATTGGTTCTCATCATCGCACTGCTCTGCAAGTACTGAGAGTATCAATTATGAGCCAGGCACTGTCCTGGGCGCCAGGGACAGCATGTGAGCGCGTGGATGACACCATGCCCTCAAAGGACACTTATGTTTGAGAGCAGAGGCAGTGCTAGAAATGCACGGATGATTTCAGAGAGCCAGGGGGCTGGGAGTAACAGAACAGGAAGGAGAAAACAGGGTGGTGTGCCCATGAGTGCACCGTGTATGCACTGTGAATGCTCACGAGGGCACCCATGAGCGCATGGGATGTACTTGTGTGCGCCCATGCAGGCACCCTGCAAGTCAGGAAGCAGCACGCAGGGATGCATGTCAGAGAGCCCCTCTCTGAGAAGGCACCATCAGAACCGAGACATGGCAGGCTGTGGGGGACGCACTCCAGGGACAGGGGACAAGGGCGAGCCCCCAGAGGGCAGTGCTCAGCGGAGAGTGGTGAAGGCAGCATGAGGTAGACAGGTGGCCACGGGCTGGGGAGGGTCTGGATTTTGCTGTCTTGAAATCAGGGAGCTCTGAACATGAGGTGCCAAGATACACCCGGGGCACCAGGAGCACACGGTATGCGCCTTGTGCGGGCCTGCGTGTACCCTACCATCTCGGCACTCTCAGAGCCCCTGGTGGACTGGGCCCTGCAGATCAGGGGGGTGGAAGCCTTCATGTGGCTCCACCGCAAAGCCAGGGTTTCAGGGGGCCCACACTACACCCGCCTGGGTCCCAGGTGCATACTTCTCGCTGTTGGCCAGGCGGCGGTACTCCCCAACCGTCATGGCTTTCTTCTGGATGTTGTACTGCGTGAAGAGGCCTGACTGGCCTGTCACTACCTGCTGGATGGGGGCTGGGATGACCACATCATCGATGTCATCGTACGTCTGCCGTGGCTTCCACTCCTTTGGAGGGATGATCTGTAAAACCGAGGGGGAAGTCAGCAGCACCTCCAGACAGGCATACTCACTCAGGACAGGGGAACGAGCAGAGGACACACTGCCCACTCCTGGGAGACCAGCAGCCACTACCTGGGAAGCACCCGGGACTGCCTTTATCAAGTACCCAAAGGATCTTGTGCCAACAACGTGGGCAGCACCTGCTGCATTTGAAGTTCTTTCAAAACCTTTGTCACTAGAGGGCAGGGTCACCGCACCCTTCTGCTTCAGAAAGGAGTAGGGTGTGCCCAACACTCATTCTACGAACCCGCTCCAGTGAGACCTTCTAGGGGGTACTCAAAGCTCTAGATGCAGGGAGGCAAAACATGGGGAAACAGAGATCCACCAGGGTCTTACACTGCATGGAAGAGGGCAGATGACAGGTACTAGTTGAAGATAAGGAAACTCTGTGGAAAGGTAACCAGTTGTAAGTACTAAGACTATAAAATAAAGAAAGGCTGGGTAAGAATCCCACAGGCATAGGGGAGGTTTACAATTCAAAATGGGAGGAGACCTGGGGTGGGGGTGTCACCTTTGAGAAATGGCACAGATATTTCATGGAAGTAGATCCAATAGGCAACCACCAGGCGCTGACCCTAAGTAGATGGCAGCTCTCCTGCCCCCCTCCCTTCTCTGCTCTTCCCCGCAAGGGACACTCAGGGCTGGCACAAAGAGCTTAGTGTCGGGGCACTAGGTCTGGGCACATCCTGAGCAAGCACTGGGCTGGGTTCGCTTAGGCTCAGGAATCCACTCCCAGCCCCTTCACCCTCCTGGTCAGGGGCAACTTCAGGGCTGGACAGAGGCCTCCTGAGGGCCAGGCACACTTCTGTGCAAGCCCCACAAGGCCAGCTGGGGCGAGTCTCTTCCAGTCCTGGGTGGGTGTTTGCAAGCTTCACGTCTCCTTGCAGGGTGCTCAGCAGGCCACCCAGCAGCTCTGGGAAAAGGAACTAGCCCAATCCATTTTCAAAGCATCCGCCATAAACTCTGGAGAGGCTGAACCCTCACCCTGCTTGGAGCCAATGAAGGACAAACACCACACTGATGCCCAAGTTTGCCAACAACTTAAGGAAGGGCTGAAACCCATTTACCATCCCCAAAGATTCTGCTATCAAACCTAACACATCAGTGGAAGAAAATGTTTTGCTTGGCAGTAAAAACACTTATTCTCCAGCTACCTGTTAAAAAGAGGAAGGTGCTGCGTCCCCTGTCAGCACATACAAGTTTTCTTATAAAATACAAAAAAATAACAACAGAGCAATAAGAGGAAATCAGCTGGTCTCACCAGGGGACACTGGGTGACATCTGTGGTTATCATGACTGGGGTGCTCCTAGCATCGAGTAGGTGGGGGCCAGGGGTGCTGCTCAGTGCCCCACAATGACCAGGATGGCTCCCCACAGGGAGGGACCCAGCTCCGGCGTCAGGAGTGCTGAGGCTGGGACCCTAATATAGAGTTAAATGGGGATGAAGACACAACTCTTCAGTGAAGGCTCTTTCAAGGGACACCTTCTCTCTTGCTCTGTCAACTGCGGTCATGACTCAATAGATGCCAAGGGTGCACACTCATGTCTGGTACAAGACCATGTGACAAAAGGGTGCTGTCTGGAGTCAGCCTGGCAGCTGAAGGTTTTCTTAGATTTCAAGTGAGAAAGCTGGAGATTCAGATGCTAAACTAAAACATTCAACGCCGGAAACACAAAAAATAAGTAAGAGGGGCTGTGCCCCCTGGGATCTGAGATGCTCTTCTGTGAGGCAGGGACCGTGACCCTGATCAGCTTTTTAATTGCATTATTGATGTCTCCTCCTGAGAGAAAACCTGGGCCTCCTCCTGCAGGAAAGTGCCATGACCCTGGACAGGCTCCAGACCCACTTTGGTTCTACCAGAGGAAGTCTGTCCCTAATCCCAGTCTGGGGCAAGATGAACAAAAAATGTCACTCCCAAATTTCCCACTTTCAAACAAGAGCTCGGGGTGACATTGTTCATTTACGCTGTCCCTAACACACTGCTGTGCAAAGACACCTGAAAACCAGGAAGGGGCCTGCAGGCACATGCCCAACGACCGGTTTGCCTACGTGTGAACTACCCATCCCTGGACACATTCTAAGCAGGTTCTGAAAAGGCTGCTTGCAAGGAGGGCCACTTCCAGCTGGTCTGGAACCCGAATCTTCTGGAAAAATCCCTTAGTAGTGTATTGTGGCCTAGGGTCACGGCACTTTCCTGCAGGGCACTTACCCTCACATCTCTGTAAGATCGGATCTGAAAGGGGGATCCCAGGCAAAGGACATCTGATGGATGCAGCCTAAAGAACTTCTAGCATTCTGACTAATTCCATTAGGCTGCTAGGTACTGCCTTGGACTGACACTTGCTTGAAGCTCCTGGAGAGCAAGTCCAGCCAAAGTAAGGAGGAGCGGAAAGGCCACATACCTCAAATGAACGAGGCAACACCGAGCTGATGCCCAGGCGTGAGCTGTGTGGCAAAGCTAGGAGTCTGGGCAGCTAGAGCAGAAGGTGTGGGGGACCTTGCAAAAGGGCAGGAGTGAGGGGACAGTCTTTGCCCCCCAAAACCACTTGGTCCCAAAGCCACTCCACAGGGTGCAGGCCCGGCCTCTGAGGGCTGCCAGAGCACTGCCCAGCTGCAGAACTGCCCTCAAGGACACACCTGGGCACCAAGCACTGGGATCCCTCCCCAACTGGACCCCACGCTGGCGCATCGCCCCACCACCCGGAATCGTGCCCCTCCCTGGCTCCTCCTGTCCCAGCACTTCCCAAGCGGCCTCGGGAGATCTCCTAGCCCTGGCCTGCGGGGAGCAGAGGCCCAGTGGGCATGGCGCCCATGCATGTGCAGAGGGCCTGAGGAACACGACTAGGCTGTCCCACAACGCCAGGGTGGGACTCCCGCACCCCCAAAGCCGCTTCTAGCTGCAGCTCTGGCTCCACCTATGCCTGCTAAGAGCTCACCCCAACCAGCTCCACCGAGCCGCACAGGGCTTTTGAGAAAGGGACCAAATGCAGCTTCTATGAAAGGAAACCTCTACCTCCCCACAGGTATGCACACGCACATGGACACACACACAAAGGGCAGTCAAGGCTGATGAAGCCAGGGCAGGGGGTGGGCGGCGACAATCGGTGTCTACAGAGCTGACTCAGGATGGCAAGACATCATATCCCCTCTCCAAAGAGACTAGCAGCCCTGAGAGCCAAAGGCCCCCATTTAAAAGAAAAGGGAGGTGCCGAGGGAGGGAGTCCCTGCTTCCCTGGATCCACATGCTGTCCGTGCTGGTAGGGACAACTCATGTGCGTTGGTGTGACCTAACTGCCAGCAGGGTCACACAGAACCCACGCCTGCACCCCTAGACTGCCTCCCCCCACACTGGATTCAGAAAGAATTCCCACATACAAAGGTGACCATTAGTCAGAGAGAAGGCAGCAAATGAAATACCACTTCAGAGAGAAAAGAAACATGTAAAACAAAAGGCAGAGGGAAACAATACCCTGACAATACTTGCCCCACTAAAATCCCCAGTCCAAACAGTTCCCCATCGATCCAAATAAATTAGTGAAAAATTGGCCCGCTGGAATTAAAAGCCTAGAGGAGAGGTGACTGGGTTCAAAGGATGACGTAGAGGGGAAGGAAGGGCGGAAGAAATGACAGAGGTGCAAGGATAGCAGAGCACTGATGGGGTGGGATTTAAAGGTGTTCCCAATGGAAAAGTACAAGATACTAATTTGCTACAAGTCTCCTTACCTAAAGGATAATGTGAACCCAAAGGCAGATCGGCCAGATGTGTCCAGAGAAAAGTAGAACTAGGTCAATGACAGGAAACAAAGAAATGGACCCCACATCCCACCCCAACAGGCACCAGGACTCCGCTGGCTTCAAAATCGCCCCACCACTGGGGGCCTGCAACAGGCAGGACAGCAGGAACAGTGTCATCTGACAATTGACAACAGACTATGGATTTGTCAGCAGGCAGGAAAGCCCCAAATGGGCACTTCTGAACTTGCTAGAACCCCAGGTGCAGGGTTTCCACAGCACTTCTCATATGAGATGACAAACTTCAGGCAAGTAAGACACAGGCAGTGGTGAGCACTGGAGCCATTTCAAGGGAGAACGAAGCCACAATGACTGGTGGCCAGGGTTCCCAAACCAGATAAAAATGTCGTGATTTGTCTATATAATCTCATACACAATGAGCAAAATGCACGAGGGAAGGGGAGAGAAAGGCGCTGCAGGTACACTGTTTTCCTTCCTCCTGCAGCTGAGCTTGAAGGAACAGGGGTCGCCGAGAGAGGAAATGATATTAGTAACAAAACCAACCAAAACGGGCTGTGGGGGCAGCAAACTGCAGCTTGTGGTCTAAACCTCGTCTACTGCCCGCTTTTGTACAGCCTGCAAGCTAAGAATGTGTTACTTTTGTTTGGAGTTGTTTTTTTTAATGGTTGGGTAAATTTTTTTAAATAAGAATATTTCAGGACAAGTAAAAGTTCTGTGAAATGCACGTTTCAGCCTCCATAAATAGTTTAACTAATGCACAGCACGCCCGTTGGCTTACAAGTCATCTCAGGTGGCAGAGCTGAGTGGTGGCGACAGAGACTATCCAGCCCACAAAGTTGAAAATACTGCACGGCTCTCTAGAGAAGAGGGTTACCAACCTTCTGGTTTAAAGAACAGACAAGTAGGAATCTTAAATAAAGTGATCCTCACCCAGGAAGTAACAAGAAGAACCCTAAGCAAGCAAACAGGTATGAATCTTTCCAATCCTTCGGTGAGGAATGCCATGCAGGTTTATGTGAACATGAAGAAACACAATCATATATATTAGAAAGATACACAGGATGAGCTTGTGTGTCCCTGTCTGCCCTCACATGTGTACACTCGCACACACATATATATTTATACGTGTAATATGCCAAGGAAAGTGACATATGTTGGTAGCCATGTTGCTTCCAGGGACAGGAGCTGGGAGACTGGAGCTGGAGGAAGAAGACTCACTTGTCACTCTATGCCCTGCTGTACTGTTTGAATTTGCCTCCCATGTGCATTATGATCTCAAAAATAATAATAAATAAATGTGTTGTTTTATTGGGAATATAAAGGCAAAAACTCAGGCCTTCCTGGCATCAACTGCCCCGAAGCCTCCCCAGACTCTCAGCCTCCTTCTCCTCTGGGTGGGGTAAGTGGGCGCTGGGCTGGCTCGGTCCAGCTGTGTTCTGCCCCAGCCTGCCCACTCCTGCAGGGACAGTGGCTGTGCCAGTCATTTATGAGTTCCAGTGTCTAGTACAGAACCTGGCACAGGGAAAGCACCCTACTATGTTTGTAGATAAATGAGATCAGAGTGGTTTGGCGAACAGGTTAGTGGAAGCACCACCTTCAGACATGGACACACACAGAAAAGCTCTGCCAGGCCCAGGATGTCACCCACCTTGGCCAGGCCTGCCCGGTGGGCTCCCTGGGACTCAATGTAGGCCACGTATTTGTTGAAGTCCTTAAATTCTTCCATGGTTGGGCGAAATGTCATGATTTTACAACTCGGGTTCTGGGCCCCGTGATCCTCAGACCCCATGGCTGCAGCTGAGACTCCGCCACACCTGTGAGGGAAGACAGAGAGCATGAGCGTGGCAGCGCCACCACCAGTGGGTGCTCTGCCCCTGCAAACAGCATGAAAAATACCTGTGGCCCCAGGAAGCACCGCAGGGCAGAGAGGAGACTGGGAGCCGACTTCCTTGCTCTGCAATGGCACAAAATACCAAAATGACTTCAACTAATTAAAAACAGAGGTGTCCTAGTTCTAAAAGCCAACATGACAGTGGAAGCCAGAGCACTGATTTTAAGCTGATCCTGAGAAGTAAAAGTTTTTCTTATCGTGGACTCAAATCAATACATGTCCTTTGGAGCTGGACGTCCAGAGAGACGGCATCACGTGACAGGTTCTGGAAGGTAAGTAAGGTTGTACGGGAGCCTGCCTCCTTTGGAGGTTAGAGCCTGTGAGCAGGAGAGTGACAGCTGTAACTCCCCTGCTTATAGGCGGGGCCACCCAGAACAGCATGCAGGCCACTCCAGGACTAGCCTGGCTGCTGTCAGCGATCCTAGGCCCAGTGACCCTCGAGCAGCCCAAGGCAGGAATCTGGAACCAGGAAGGCAGAAGGCCTGGCCAGAATGACTCATTTCCTGCGATGACAAATGCTCCAAGGCACCCTCAGGTACAGCCATGCCTAGATACTTAGGCACAGAAGGGGAGAACGTGGCCAGGTCTGTGCACTCTAAGACTCACTGCTGGCACCTAAAGATAACAGGGGACCAGGGCTCCTCTCAGGGAGGAGACTGCAGGCTGGAACAGCCCCCTCATCTACTCAAAGTTAAGGAGACCCAGTGGGGTTGTCGGTGGCCCAATCTCAGCAGGAAGGGGTTCAGTGATGGATTCTGGAAGGGGTCTCTGCTGGCAGATTAAATTCTCCTGGTTTCAGAAGACTAGACCTCCTTCAGGATTTGGAAAAGGTCAGAATCCAAGTGAACACAGACCTGAGAGCTTGGAGAACAATTTAACCAAGTCCCCACCCCACCCCAAAGTGGTAATGAGAAAGCCAGGAAGCCCAATGTTTCCAGAAAAGGGAGAGCCAAGACGCAGTCATAGGCTTCCAAAATGTGCTCCCTGTGGCGGGCACTAGAGGGCAGCACCAGCCCAGGAACTGCAGCTGAGGCAGTTTCCCAGGGAAGGGATCTGGAGGCCGCAGGCTCACAGGCACCCTGTCCTGGTCCAGCCCCTAACACCCCATGTGATATCTGGGGCACATGAGGCTGGGGCCAGGGGGGCAGCAGCTAAAGTCCCCTTCTGAGGGTCATACTCTTAGCTGGCTGGCTAATGAGGGCCCCCAAGGATCCTGACATACACAGCGTGGGGTGGCAGAGGGGTCACTGCTTCACTGCTGCACCCAGGCTGGGACCCACCATGATCCTCTGTCCTGTGTCCACAAGTCTCGAAGTTTCTCGAGGAGCAGCCACAAAGCTGACATGTGCATGGCAGGTTCATAAGTACCTGTGACAGCGTGTGACTGCAGCTCTGGGATCACAGGGGACCTCTAAGAAAACAGTTTATAAAAGGAAAGGGGCTGCCACAATCCCCCTCCGGAGCAGCAGGCACCAGAGGGCCCCAGCCTCAGCCAGGCTGCCCACCCAGGAGGCTGTCCCCAATGAGCCCTGACTAGCCCTTAAGACTGACCACCACGCATTCCCAGCAGGCCCCTTGTCTGCATCAAGGGCCCAGGACCTGAATCCCTACCTGGGACCTGCACCCACCCAACCTGAGCCCTGAGCCTACCTGCCTGCCCTCTCCCCTCCAGCCCAGACACAGCCACACAGGGCTCACTGCACAGTGGCAGACAGGACAGCAGGTCTGTCCTTGGGGGAACAGACCTTGACCCAAATACTATTGCAAACATCAATGTGAACCCAAGCGGTGCTAATGGCTGTGGAGGGGGACACAGGAGGGAAGGGTGGGGTGGGGAGGGAGAGGGCTCCCTGGGCTGGGGCCTTGGATGAGACAATGAAGCATAAGAGCTGGCTGGCCTTCCTCAGGACGCCACCACCCCTAGCCACCCACTCCTGTCCATCCCCCTTCATCACCCCTCAAAACTTCCCACACCCACTGGGGAGGCTCAAGGGCCTCTGCCTATGCAGAGCAATGGGCACCAAAGGGGTGACCCGCTGCCCACCACATCACACGGACCATCAAATCCGTCCTCTGAGGGCTGTTGCCAGAGTATGACTGCCCCAATCTCAGCTGCTGGTGCCAAGGCCTCAATGGCCAGGCAAAAGTCCAGAGGCTGGTTCCTCATTCTGCCATGGCCACCGGAGCCCAGATCTGGAGGCAGAGGACACATCAGCACTTCACAGGCCCCCGGCCCTGTTCTTTGAGTTTTACATGGGTGACTCGTCCACTCCTCACAGTAAGCCCATTTTTCCTAGTTCATTGAGGACACAGGGCCCCACAAGGGGAAGTCACATGCCCAGGCCGCACAGCAGGTAGGTGGCAGGGCTAGGATGCCCAGCCAGGCTCTGCTGAGACAGCCACGGTGTTCTTCCTCTCCTCCACCCCGGTGAGTGACAGGTGCCGGGACCTACCCACACCCAATAGCTCCCCTCTTTAGCTGGGCTGGTCTTGGCCAGCTGGCTGCCTCTCCTCCAAGACTGGCTCGCGAGGGGCCCACAGGGGAAGGGGCTAGAGCCTCTTGCAGAAGCTGCCTCCCACCGGTCCACCCAAATACCCAGCACCACCGGTGGGAGGTGACGGAGTGTGCCTGTCTCCTCCCCGAGACCAGCTTGTCCTAGGCAGAACTGGGGCAGCCCCAGGGCCCTGCCCACACAAGCTCTCCCTCATGTCAAAAAGCACGACACAGAGAAGTCTTCCATCTAGGAGGTGCAAAAGCAGACGATGAGACAGCAGGTAGGGTGTTTTGCATATGCACACTGGCAAGAGACGCTGTGCTCCAACCACCATCATCCAGATTCAGCTCCACGGTGACATCTATAGGTTTTTTTCTCTCTTATTCATGCTTTTTGAAATGAAGTTTTTTGGTAGGTAAATGCAAGGAAGAAAATTAAAATGGCTTATAATCACAACATTCCATAACCCTTGACATATTTTTTGAACGAGGGCAAAAAAAAAATCCTGTGTGTATGTGTTTAAGAAATAAAAATGGAATTTCACTGGACACCAGCCCTGGGCCAAACTTTTGGTTTACTGGAAACATGGGGGGTGGGACAAAGGACTGAGAGAGCCCCCAGGAGGGGATGTGCAGAATGTCCAGCAGGAGCTATAAACCCTTTACCAGTGTCATGCCAAAAAGTGGGGCTCTAACAACTCAATAATGCAGAGACAAACAATAGCCCAATTAAAAAGTGTGCCAAGGACTTGAATAGACATTTCTCCAAAGAAGGTCAACAAGCATGTGAAAAGGGGTTGAACATGGCAGCCAGCAGGGAAATGCACATCAAAACCACAGTGAGCTACCACTCACCTCCATTAGGATGGCTAAAAACACAGACAATAGCAAGTGCTGATGAGGATGTGGACAAATTACAACCCTGATAAACTGCCGGTGGGCATATTAAGTGGTAGAGCTGTTGTAAAAAAGAGTTTGGTGGTTTAGAAAAGATTGTGATCGGCCGAATAATACACCTGTGGATCCCAAGACAGCCACATCCTTATCTGAGCTGCCGCTATGCTCCCTCACATGGCAAAAGGGACTTGGAAGATGGGATTAAGAACCCTGAGATGGGGGTGACCCTGGATTCCCCAGGGGGCCCAGTGTCATCACAGGGATCCTTGTAAGAGGGAGAGAGATGGAGACAAGATGATAGGGGGATGAAGGCAGAGGGTGAAGTGATTTGAGGAAGGACACCCAAGGAAAGGAAAGCAGACAACCCAATGAAGCTGAAAAGAACTCAAAGAGATCAATTCTTCCCTGAAGTCTCTAGACGGAGTGGCCTTGCCAACACCTTGAGTTTAGCCCCGTAAGACTCACTCCAGACTTCTGACCCTCAGAATTGGTAGAGAATAAATACGGGTTGTTTGCGGTCACCAGGTTTACAGTCATGTGGCAGCAGCTGTGGGATGCACATACGGGAGCAAGAGAGAGCGGTTTTGAAAGGTGGTCCAGGGTTTTCAATGCGCTTGAAAAGGCCACGTCCTAGTACACACCTGGCCCTCATCGGCCATGTAGCCTGCATCTGAGGTCTACACTGACCACAAGGCTGCCCTTCTCAGGCCACTGGGAGTGGCCGCCGTGGCCAGGTGCACACAGGACTATTCATCCTCCACTCTGTCACCCCCACCGCATGGATGGCAGCCGGGAGGTGATTAGTTTGTCCCGCTCTTCTTACCAGTAACCATCTTGGGCCACCATCAGAGGCCACCACCTTAAAACCCTCTGTCCTCTGTCCCTGGTTCATTAGAAAAGTATAGGCAGAGGTGAATAGCCTGGGGCTGAAACCCAGAAGCAGCTGGGCAGTGGATTCTTTTAAATGCATTTTAAAAGACTCTTACATTTTAAATACCTCCCCCGCCTCCCCATCCCTAGCTGTGACTGGTCACTATCCTTGGCAGGTTGTAGGGTGGAGTGAATAGGGTGCTCAAGAAGCCCAGAGCGGGGGTTCTGCCTGATCCACAGCGACACAGACAGAACAGCCTGTCTCAGGGACCCCAGCATCAATCACAATGCAGAGTGGTCCTCGGGGCTTCTACAAGTGAGGGACAGGCATTTAGATGCTGAAGGGTGAGAGGGCAAACCGGGAACATGCAGACTAGAGGAGAGACATCCAGCAGAGCCACCCCTAGGGGGTTCCAGGCACCTTTGTCTAAGGCCATGCAGAGCCTGGACACCCCAGGAACTCAGAACTAAATGGGGCAACCTTAACCCCCCGCCACCTGGGAGGAGGCCACGGACTTTGGTGCCTTGGTCTTGCACTTACTTGAAAGTTCCTGGTATATTCTGATGGCAAGGCTGCAATGACAGATGTTCTATAGTAAGTGGCTTGGATTTCTGTCAGGATCCAGCAACAGTGATGGTTCCTAAAATGCACAAAATAAAAAGCACGATTAACTACATTGATCGCATGCTTAAGTCTAAACTCCTCATTACACTCCCAACAGCAGCATGTAGCCCAAGGACGGCTCTCATCTTTATTCAGATGTTTCTAAATCCCTGCCACTTTTCAGAAACAGGAAAATCCATTTTAAGCTCATCTTCCACTAATCAATAGCTAAAGAAGCAAGAACCTCCATAAAGAAATTAAGCCAGAAGTTTCTGGAAACCCTAAGGTACAGGCAGCTTTGGAGAGGTTTACAATTTCTGCCTCCTGTGAACCCCTACAGACAGGGAAGATGCCACTCCAAGGAAGAAAGGCACATGGACAACGTCTCATGGTGACTGCCATCTGCACCCCTACGAAGTGCACATAGCGAGAGCCTGGCAGGGGCTGTGCAGACCCCTCCCCGAGGGCAGGGACACCCCAGTACTTGTTGAATGGATGCAGCAGCACGAGATGCTAAAGCTGGGTTTGGCCTCAGGCCCTTTGACAATCTGGGCTACATCTACCCTGACTCAGAAGCCCTCCCTCCCACATCTCCCCACAGCTCTCCAGACACATGCACCCCAATGGCACAGGGTCTACCAGATGTTCCGTGCCTCTGGGCCTTTGCACACACTGTCCATGACCTGAGAATCCCGATACGCCCAATGTTTCAAGGGCAGCTTGTCCCCTGGTTCTGTTGAACTCAATCTCACATCCTTTCTCCAATTCACTGAGTTTTAAATAGCACAGGTTTCACCAATACCCTCACAACTGATAATGCACACTGACATTTTTCGTCTTATTTTAATCTGGTTTTTAACATTACTGGGCACAACCCATTTTAGTGATGTCACTGTCTTTGAACAGGTCTCAACCCCTGGTTGAAAGGGTACAAGAAGCTGTGAAACTGTTGGATCTCAGGCTGCACACATCTTCCTCTGGACACAGTAAACTGTCACTGGCTCTCCCAAGGGCTCCCCAGCCTCTCCCACCTGCACGGCTGAGGACAGCCCTGCTCCATGGCCCTGCCAGCACCCAACATGGGCTGGAGCTAAGTCAGAGGAGAAGATTAATGTGGAACCTCTCCAAGGAGCTGTAGCTGGCAGAATAATGGCCACCAAAGATGTCCGTGTCCGAATCCCCACTACCTGTGGCAATGTTCCCGTCTAGGGCAAAAAGGACTTTGCAGATGGGATTAAGTGAGATCTGGAGAGGGGAAGATTATCCTGGATTATCAGGTGGGCTCTGTCACCAGAGGGGCCCACCCTAGAGGAGGGACGTGGGAAGGTCAGGGTCAGAGGAGCTATGATCACGGAAGCAGAGGTCAGAATGACGGGCTATGAAGATGGAGGAAGGGGCCATAAGGGAAGGACTGTAGGCACCTCCAGAAGCTACAAATGACAAAGAACAGATGCTCCTGTGGGGCTTCCAGAAGGAACTAGCCTTGACCACACCTTGATATTAGCCCAGTAAAACCAGTCGGACTTCTAGCTCCCGAACTGTGAGATAAATAAGTGTGTGTTAAGTCACTAAGTCTGTGGTTATCCATCAGGGCAGCAGAGACCAATGTATACTTCCAATGTGCATTTCCCTGATCACAGAAGTGAGGGGTCTTTTCGCTTCCACTGACCACAAAGGTCGCTCTGCTGAGAACTATAAGCCCCTATCTCTTACAGTGTCTCAATGACATGTCTCCCTTGTCACTCGTAACTGTCTCTTAGCATGCTCTCTTCCTCACTGGACATGGTCTGCTCCTACCCAGCACATGGTCTGAAAGGCAGAGAACCACCAGGGCCTGTGCTTCTCAGCTGGACAGACCCCAGCCTCTGCTGCCCATGGTTGTTGGGCCACCGAGAACACGAATACTTCTGATCTCACATTCTGAGCCAAAAGCACCAACCTCCAAACCTGGAGGCTAGAAGCTCCGGGACTGAGGTCGAGGCCCAGTTCTCAGGCCACAGGCTGAGGTGAGGCCCCTGTCCACCCTGACCCATGTCTACATGGGACAAAGGTCTAGGCTAACCCATATCCACGGCTCCTCTGAAGGATCCCCAGCATGCTTTGGGATGCAAGCCCAGCCACAGAACCAGCCCCAGACGCACATGGCACAAGGCGGCCAGGCCTGAGGGATCAGAGGACCTTACACGTAGACTGCACAAAGTGACTTCCTTCCAAAAGGGGGACAGAAGGACTTTACGGTAGAGGAAACTAGCAAACACAACTCAGCCAGGGGATCAGGGTCAAAATAACAGAAATAAGTCACAGTGCGCATGACCCTGGATATGACAGGGTAGAAAAGACCTTCACCTCTGGGGTCTTCCTTGCAGAACACGTTACCTCAGTCCGACCATCAGAAAAATAACAGATGAACCCCGACTTAGGGACTTTCTACAAAATCTCTGACCAATCCTCCTCAAAACTGCCAAAGTCACCCAAAACAAGAAAAATCTAAGAAACTGTCGCATCCTAGAGGAGCCTAAAAAAAACATGACAACTAAATGTCATGTGGGATCCTGATCGGGGTCCTGGGAGAGAAAAAGGTCATTAGGGAAAACTGAGGAAATCTGAATATAGTATGGACTTTAGTTAATAAGAATATGTTTACTAATTTTGACAAATATACCAGCCTAACATAAGATGTTCATAATAAGGAAATTGGGGATTTGGGGGAGGGGGATTGTTTCTAAGAACTTCACCTGCTCAATTTCTCTGTAAATCTAGACCATTTAAAAAATAAACTCATCCCTCGCTGGTGTGGCTCAGTGGATTTGGCACTGGTCTATAGACCAAAGGTTTGCTGGTTCAATTCCCAGTCAGGGCACATGCCTGGGTTACAGGACCAGGCCCCAGTTGGCGGCATGCGAGAGGCAACTGATCCATCAATGTTTCTCTCCCTCCCTTTCTACCTCCCTTCCCCTCCTTCTAAAAATAAGTAAATAAAATCTTTTAAAAAATAAAATCAAAGTAATTTTTAAAAAGAGAAACAAATCAAAAAGGCCCAGGCAGGCTGGGTCTCATGCCTCCTGCTGCCCAGGCTGGCCTGGCCCAGCTGCTGACCTCACTGTGGGTCCTGGGAAATCTGGGGCACTAAGAATAGAACTCAAGAGGGAGTCCGATTGCAGCCAGGTAAGCGCCTGCATTGGTGACCCAAAGCATCAGATACCAATGCCCCTAAAAAAGCCCAGTCTGACCATTTCTCCTTTAAAAAGGTGCAGTCTGACTACTAGAAGACGCTCTTATTCTGACACGCCCGCCCGAGGCAGGTGCTGACACAAGCAGCAGAAGGCACAGGGGCTTACTTCTGTACCTCCTCTGCGAAGGGCAGGCAGGTGGGGCCAGGAAGGAAAAGGACCAGGAACCAGAGAAAGATCCAGCTCTACCAAACGCTGAGGCAACAGGAGCTGCTGCTAACTAGTGGCATCTCTGGGACACCGCAGCTTGGCCTCCACGCCCCAGGTGGGGCACATGGGCTCTCCGGTGCTATTAGCTCTCAGCGACCCAACACTGACATTTGGAGTGGGTCCAGGGACTGGGCCCACACCAGGCCACACTACCCATTCTTGCCCTAGAACTCGGCCCAGGGTCTGAGAGGTGGAGAAATGATGGGGCGTCCTATGGACCAGAGAGGAAGGGAGCCATCACTTGTATACTCAGTTCCTGACCTGGAGGGCTCAACTCTCAAATCTCTCTGCTCCTCCCACACCACAAGCCCCAAGTGGCCCTCCAAAGGGGCCATGTGTCTCCTGCTGCACACTGAAGTCTGCAGGGTCTCTGTGCCCTACACAGGGCAGGGAGGCCACCCAAAGCCTCAGAAGGACCCACCGACTTGAACACTTTTGGGTTTTTTTTTAAAATATATATACAGATAGATGCGCACAGATATAAATACAGAGAAGCACAGATGCACAGGCTGGTATTCACATCTCCAAGTTCTGTCAGCTGACAGGCCTGGGAAGCCATGGCACCCCAGCACTGAGTGTACCCAGCAGCCAGATGAGCTTTTCAGTATCGTTCTCCAACATAAGGAAGCTGGCTCCTTGGAGAAGTGGTCGACTCCAGGGTCGAGGCTGGGAACACACAAGATGAGCCCGGGTATCTCGTGAGGCAGGGAGGAAGGAAGCCCTTGCTAGAAGACCTGGACACAAAGGAGGTGCAAGGGAGCCAAAGACGGGGACAATGGGTACCTGGCGACCAAAGCAAGGATCACTCGAGCAACATGATGAATAGTGAAGAACTGATTACCTGCAGATAAAATAAATATGCATAGGTCTTTATTGGTATAAAACTTAAAAGGGAGAAAGGACAGCCCTTTTCTACAAAAAGAATTCTAATTCATAGAGAAGGGCTGAGGGCGATACACGTCACAGTGAGAAAGCCAGAGTAATTTTTGTTGCGTATCATTGTCGTTCATCTGAAATCGACTGGCAGAAGTTTGAGGGAGAAACAGGGTGTTGGCATTGTCTCAAAACCCTAAAGGAAAAAAGAGTACCTTTCCAGCGCAGCCTCCTGGATGGCACCACCTTATCAAGTGATCAAGACTGACACCACCAGTGATGGGACGTTGATACACTGCATGGGGAAGGACACGACGTCACCAGCAACAGCCTTCCCAAAATATACAACTTCCATCTAATCACGAGGAAACATGGGACAAAGCTCAGGGATGTTCTACAAAATCCCTGACCGGTGCTCTCCAAAAGTATCAAGGTCATGACAGATGGGAAAGGAATGAGAAATGGTCCCAACCCTGAAACGCCTGCAGAAACATGACGACTAAATTTGATGTGGCATCCTGGATGGGGCTCTGGGGCAGAAAAGGGACAGGAGTGGGACAACTGGTGAAGTCCTAATAAAATCCATGGTTTGGTAAACACTATTCCTCCATGTTTCTTGCTTATTTAGTTTGGGCCGTTCTTCTGCGGCTAGGAGCTAACATTTGGGAAGGTGGCTGCAAGGTACACAGGAGCTCTATGTACTGTCTTTGCAAGATTTCAGTAA